TGTAAAGTATATTTCAGTAGGGTGTAGAGTAATAAAACCTCATTATGTATTCAAAAGAAATTTAGAGTGACCTAAGGAATACTTAAACCACTTTCCCTATCGAGTGCTGATAGTACCACCCACTTTATTTGTACATATAATTAGGCATCTTATTTTTTATTAAATTCCCAAGATCCCCGCCTCTTCTTTGATGACTTACTGGACTGCTTTTCGCCAGTTCCCTAATTGACTTCTTCAATAGCTTTATCAAATAGCTCCTTCATTGTGAATGCGGTGTTGTGACTTGCTACAAATCTTTTCACTTGCGCCTATGTAAGTTCTATAAGAGATTCGCAATGTGACTGTGTGCAAAGCACAGTTATATTCAAATTCCGTATGACCTTATTGGCTTCTTACTATTTCCTGAAGGCGCCTTAAAGTCGATTAAATTTCCACTTTTCTAGTACTGCATAAGCGCCATTAATATACGTCTCATCAAGATCAAATCTTTTCTTCTGCTCTATTGGGCACTTCTTTATACTTCTCAAGTATTCTCCTACCAGTAAACAACTTCATCGCGTTCCAGTAAAACTGGATAGCTTTACTATTATACTTTTCCCAGAAAAAAATCCCTATTTTTTGAAGTGGTCTATTAAAGTTTTCTGTGCCACTAAACTGTTATTCATTTCCATATACTCGGTCATAAAGAAATAATCAGGGGTAATGTAACAGGTAAGATGGTAAACTGACAATAAAGCCTATTCATTAGTATCGGATGTATAATTGCGCACATAGCCATTTGTTGACGTTCTAGTCTGATCAGCTCGTATTCGATTGTGTATACGCTTCCAATTGACACATGGTAGACTAATTAAATCCTATCTAACAACATTTGGCAAACATTTTTTTATTTAAAAAAAATATATAAAAAAAATTATTATTTCGTAAAGTATTTGTCATCTCGACGAAAAGCCAGTATGTTGCCGCTTCTTCGCTAGGATGATGAGGACTGCAAAGGAGCAGTTGAAAATTCCCACTACAAATATTAAACGGTTTAGGACAATAAATAGCGTCTGCTATAATAAAATACCGTAAAAATGTTCACGTTCATGACCTACAAAAAACCACTTCCGTTAAAGTTTATGGACGAAATACAGAGATTTAAAGAAGCACAGGTTGTTTTATAACGAAAATCTTCTGGGATTCACAACCATATCGACCGAAAATCGACACAAAAATAAATTAACTGGAGTATAGGATGTGCCATCTGATTGGCAATTTATAACAATAGCAGCAAATATATTCAGAAAATAAAAGAATTCACCCACTCCATTATCGTCTGCAACTTTTATTTCCGAAGGAGTTGGTACAAAAGTGTTTCCAAAAGCAAATTTTTTCAAGTGATAATACTAGATTCTGAAAAGCCTAGAACGTCTGCTAAGTGACAACTTATATTGCGAAACGGAAACTTTTACAAATTTGGCCTAGGGAAGAGGTGTTATGGATAATCATCAGAAAATTAGGGCTTTATTGTCTGATTAATTTTACTCATGCTGACGTAAAATGGTTGTTGAAGTTGAATATGTCGATAGGGCTATCGGATTGCAACTCCATATCATAAAAGCGTTCCATGCTGTAAATTTTGCATTATAAAGAATAATAATAGGTATTTGGCAGTAGATGTTAGGGGTGGTACCTTATAACAACCAATGTGGATTTGTTCTGATTGGTATTTGTTTTCAATTTGTTGTTATGAAAGGTAATATGGCATCGTTATAAGTTATCGGGAAATCACAACAACAGCGACATAACAATCTATGTCTTCAGCAATACAATCAAGCTGAAATGAACCGACCGAAAACTATCAGAGCACAAATTAAAGGCATTTTATTTTTAGACGACGCCGCACCGGACGACACGATTAAGCTTTTAAGTCATATAATATTAATTTCTACAGCAATATGACTTTATAGGTTTATTATAAGAGAACTGGCCGAGTTTAATCGAAATAAGAGGGAATGTAAATCACAAATACATTATCAAAAAGTCACGCACGCAGGTACACCGTGACGACGCTCCGAAAACCTAACCTAAATTATAACAAATGAATGCGCAGAATAAACGTGACAGATAGCCCCACTTGGGCGCAGGGGAAAGAATTATTCCACTAAGTTAATAAACAATGAAAAATGATATTACTGTATTCAGACATTATTAGAAACTAAGGGCACATAAAATAAGATTACTTGGCCATTTCTCTTTGCCCCTGTCGCGGTTTTTCTTCAAATTCTGGAGAAAATTGAGAAACGATGATGTATAATTCCTGTATTTTATTATGGTTTTAACAACAATACTATGCATATTGGCTCCAGACTAATAAAAACTCTAATTTTCGCCTTCTTGTACGCTAGATTAGTAAACATTTAACAAATTGGGTGTACATGTGATATGTGGAATTAGATATATAATTATTTTATTTCCTGTTAAAGAAACTGCAATAACAATTAAATAGTATTCAAGTTATTTAGTTTAGCATTTACATCATTCCATTTATATGTTCATGAAGATATTTTGGATGCATTGCATTTTTTCTACGTACTAAGTACAAGAACTGAGTTAATTCAAACAATTAGTCTGGCCCAAAACCTAAAAAGTTATTACGCGGAATACCTAATCAGGAAAACGTTATACAATTGTTTTGATGTGATAATTTAATTCAGATTTTCCTAAATCGCCGAGAAATTTCCCGAAGAATTCAAGATAAATTCAAAGGAACTGTGTGCATAAAAGGTACCAGGTACCAGGGTGTGGAGCGGAGGTCCCCTCTACGAGTATCCGCTTTTAGGCTGTCGTTGATTTTGGATTGGTTAGGTTTTCTACATATTTTAAAACAATCCAATAAATATTATTTTAAAAAATGATTGCATAATAATGCTTAATATTGTCCATAAGCATTGAGAATGACCTGTAAAGAGTAAAAGTATATACTTTAATTTTAGTGTTATTTCTAGCAAGGGTTTCGCATCTTTATCACCGAAGACAACTTATTCCATATTTCCAAAAAAATTAAGATAAAATTCCCCCGAATAAAATTACCTCGGAGTCTTACGCTTTATTAACATAACTTTGAAAACACTTTTTACAGAATAAAAATAATCCTACGAGTGTTTGAGCGTCTTACCACAGCCATTTCTGTGTTTGCGCATAATAGAGATAATTCAGAAATATGATTTCAGTAAAAATATGTCTGCCCATCGATTTTACTCGACGTCGCGCCATCTCCATGTTTACCCCATTCGACTCGACAATATTTACTAACAATAAAACCGCTTAAATTTGGTATTCAAATTGCTCTGGAGTTTATGTATCGCGAACATCTTAAACTGAAATATACTGTAATATATCACAATTATTATTAGATTTTCTACGAAGCTCTCCATTCTGCAAGAGAAAACTTTTAACTAGAGTTTATCCGAACAATAACAAATATCTTTACGAGAGAGTCTTTACGAAAAAGGCATAAAAATTTAAAAGGCCGGTACTGTTGAAAAGCTTTTCCTTTTTTTTCTACTCCCTTCTTTAAAATGCCTAATTACACACATTTCCGGGATATTACAGCATAGGTTTGGGAGCAATCGAATGTTTTCGGAGATATTTCCCACGCCTTGAATTTTGACGTTTGTCAATTCTGTTGTGTATAGTAAATTTTGATAAATTTTTTAAGTCAATGGATTATTAAGCGCTCGCTTTGCTCGTGCCAAATAAACTCGTGACTCAAATGCCGTTTACCACAATTATTGCAAAATATACTATTTCCATTCACTACCAGTTTTAATATTTAATCTTGTATTGCTTACCGAATATTTTTTGATTTTTTGTTAGGCTGTCGCTGGTCGCCGTCACGTTATCAGAAAATTATCAAAATAATATGATCCGAATAACAAAATAACTTTAATGGGTCAGTTTAAAAAAAAGAAGAAGAGAAATGTAATTATCGTTTTAAAATCTATTCTATCCTGTTAATATCAACCTATCAAGGTAAACGATATAAGATCTGAAAAAATAATTGTTTTAAAAACAATAAAAAACGTAGGAGCACATATGGTAAGATCCATTGATAATTGTTCCTGGATTTACGTCAATCAGCAGGAGCAGGGACAGTTCATGTAGAATTTGTAAAGACCTTCGACTTCCTGGAATAACTAAAACTAACCAAACCAATTTGCAATTTCTGTCGCAAATTCTGATCTTTGTTCACCAAATCAAAAACCCCTTTCATTGCAATTCTATTGGCCGTTAAACGGTGCAAAACGAGAAATAGAAAGATTTAAATTACTTTCGGTTGTTTTTCTGACGATAAAAATTCGTTATATTTTTCGATACGACTGTAGAAACACACTATTCCCATTTTCCCGGCGACTCTGTACTCGACGATAAAATTGGTTATTGATTCTGTAATAAAGCTTTTATTTTAAATTTTTGTGGTAGTTGCCAAGTTAATAGAAACGAAAATGAACAAATTTCGTACCGTGGAGAATTTTTTAATTAATTTTGAACATAGACCATGATAATCGATATGCAATCGATTGCAACGCCGCAAGTAGCAGATGATTTGCTGTGATATGTTGAAGTACAAGTACATAAAATCACCGGGAATTTATGTGCTTCTTGAGAGTCACATGGGACGTAACCGTCAGAACGGACAATCGTCGAAATACCATGACTAAAATCTGCCGAAAACATCCAGTCGCTCCCAATACGTGCCTCATGTACCGGAAACGACCGAAGTTGATATTTTAAATGACACTATCCCCACGTTTGGTGGGTGCATAATAGGGTATATTACAGTATGGAGTAGGAACCACTGCTTTTATATTCTGGTTTTAAATTTTTAACACGCAACACGCAAATCTGGTTGCCTGCCCGCAAACACCCAATGTCGTATTTTTATTGCAACAAACCGATGTAGACCGACCAGCATTTGCGTTAAATGAATCATAATTTATAATAAGGCAACTAACCTCAAAGCGGTATTTGCTCTCTGCGATATATGGCTGCGAGGTAGGCCACACGCGGATTTTAACACTTTAACGCCCGTAAACAGCTTGTAATATTAAAATTGTCGACGCACAAACTGATAAAAAATTCAGGGACACTTTTATGATGATAACATTTATATGAATGTACTTTTTAGCATTTCTCTCGATAAAGGTAAGTCGGTAATTGTCGGTAATGAATCGATCACCTGTTTAAAGTTAGTGGTTCATGGTTGAACTGTGTTCGCCGTAGATTTACTAGTATAAGTAGATATTCGGTAGTTTGACGAACTCTTTCTGTGTTTTTGTTTTCAATTATTTGTCATCTTTCTCTCTCTCTTCCTCGCTATCTATCTATCTATTTCTCTCTCCTTTTCTTTCTCGCCCACTCAAACTTACCCATACACACACTGAGGTTGTGACTCAGACAAAAGATTGTTATTAATTGTTTTATGGCACCGTGGATATTTAAATTTTGGTCATAATTCGGCAGTTAAAAGTAGATAGTAGATAGGTTCGTAGATAACATAAATGTCAGTTGACGCACCCATACTATTTTATATCAATTTTTCATCCATTGTTGGCAATTATTCAATTATCATTTCTGTGTTAATATTAGTTTGCTCATGGCATTTAATTATTTTCCAATTTCATGTACCTTGGACTTATTTTACCGTTATTTGGAATCACTGGAGGAACGCAGGCGATAAGTAAAGTCAATCCAAACAAGATTTTGGATGACAAAGGGGATTTCTTAAGACCCAAAGTTATTTGAAAATTAGTATTTTGAATACATGAGCTTTTGTAAAGTTTTATATATTGAATGAACCAATTACCAGACAAGGTTTCAGTGATAACTTCTTCGTTCTATCCAGTTATTGGCTAGTGAGAAGGCGTCTACTAAAATATGTGTAAGTGGGGGTACCAAATCTGCAAGAGAATGCAAACTATCAGGAAAGATTATTTTTTCACGATTGTTTGGTTGTGGTTGGTTATTACCACTGTGTACAGTAAATTGCGACTTTAATTGTTATATTGGATGAAATAAATTTCCAATTTCAATCCATCCAAGGCTGTGATCCATACGCAGAATGTATAGCAAAAAATAAAGCTTCAGAGTAAATTTACTACCTCTGAAGTCCTTTGTGGTCAATAATCTCTAATAATTTGTGTGGATCACTAGACTTAAAACTACCAAACACTTGTTTGTTCTTTAGTTAATGCGTCGATTGAGACGTCAGTTATCATCAAAAACCACCTAATCAACCTAATTCAATTCACAACTGTGCAATTTTTAGATGTCCATCGGTCCAAATTTCCAGTTCATTACGTAATTAATTCCGACGAGGGTCAAGAAACTACAGCGGTTAGCATACCAGATTTCCCATAAAACTTCTCCTTGCCTTTAAATATTCTAAAAATATATGAAATTATATTATTTTAAGTTTCTCAGAACTTCAATAGAAGAAAGACAATTTTTTGCCGACATCTTTGTTTTATTCTTAAATCATTAACCGTTTTTGCAGCGTTGTTAATGATACTCACAGCGAATTTTCAAACATGTCCTACACTTATTTAAGCAAGACATGAACCGAATCTCTTCCATATTTCACCCACGTGAGTCACCCACCCTGCAAAATGCAGATTTATCAATTTCGGCAGTTATTAAAAGCACTAAACAAACTAATCTGCTTTTCTGCCATCCAACAGAGAATTCGAAAATTTTGATAACGAAAAATGCAGGTCCAGTAATCAAAGAGGAAAATATAAAAGTTTGATATTTTAAAATAACTTTACATTGCAAATATTTAGAACAAACAGTATGACTGCCACATCATATAGATATTGAATATCATCAAAAACCTCTTGGCCCGATTCCAGAAACTAGAGACTGTCCCTTTTGCAACAGATGTTCTGTTTTTATCATTCTTACCTCCTTTTTCATTAAGTTGGTAGAGATAGAGCAATCTTCTCATAGGAATGCGGTTCCCCATATTCAAGAATTAATACCCAAGTTTCATCAAACAGCCAATTATCTCTGTCAGATTATGAACTACACATTTTGTGTTTCGAAGTGGAAAAGTATTCAATATTGAATGGATTTTTTTTTAATTTCGGATTTTTGCAGAATACCGCGAAGGAATTCTTGATTTTGAAAGATAAAGCAAGCAACGAAACATATTTTCTGATTTTCTAAGTTGCTTAATGAGTGCATAAAAAATGAAACCCAAAATTAACGCCAGAATGACCATAACTATCACAGCTTATGTGTTTCCACCTGAGCGGAATATTAAGATATGCAATGTTGATATGGCAAACGGCATGTCCTTTTCAGGAACATGCACTTGGTAAGGTATCCAAGATGGTAGTACAATTGCTTTTTACAAAACTTCTGGATTCCTCCTGCGTCGGTTTTTTCTTAGTCGAAATTCCTGACGTTTCGCCAATCATCCTGTTGGCTTCCAGGATGAAACCTGGGTTTTAATTCTTGAATCTGGGGAACCGCATTCCTATGAGAAGATTGCTCTCTCTATCTCTACCAACTTAATGAAAAAGAAGGTAAGAATGATAAAAACATAGCAGGTGTTGCATAAAGGACGGTCTCTAGTTTCTGGAATCGGACCCAAGAGGTTTTTATGATATTCGATATCTATACGATGTGGCAGTCATATTGTTTGTTCTAAATATTTGCAATGTAAAGTTATTTTAAAATATCAAACTTTTATATCTTCCTCTTCGATTACTGGGCGTGCATTTTTCGTTATCGAAATTTTCGAATTCTCTGTTGGATGGCAGAAAAGCAGATTAGTTTGTTTAGTGCTTTTAATAACTGCCGAAATTGGTAAATCTGCATTTTGCAGGGTAAGCTTGGATGCATTTGGATATCGATTGACTCACGTGGGTGAAATATGGAAGAGATTCGGTTCATGTCTTGCTTAAATAAGTGTTGATAAATGTTTGAACATTCGCTGTGAGTATCATTAACAACGCTGCGAAAACGGTTAATGATTTATGAACAAAACAAAGATGTCGACAAAAAATTGTCTTTCTTCTTTTGGAGTTCTGAGAAACTTAAAATAATATTATTTTCATATATTTTTAGAATATTTAAAGGTAAGAAATTTTATGGGAAATCTGGTATGCTAACCGCTGTAGTTTCTTGACCCTCGTCGGAACTAATTACGTAATGAACTGGAAATTTGGACTGATGGACACCCAAAAGTTGTACAGTTGTGAATTGAATTAGATTGACTAGGGGGAATTTGATGATAACTGACGTCTCAACCGACGCATCAGGATAAACAATCATCGCATCGAGTAAACAATAGTACAAAATAAAATTAACATGAAAATTATTATAACTAAAGAACAAACAAGTGTTTGGTAGTCTTAAGTGTAGTGTTCCACACAAATTATTAGAGATAAGAGACCTCAAAGTACTTCAGAGGTAGTAAATTTACTCTGAAGCTCTATTTTTTGTTTTACATTCTGCGTATGGATCACAGCCTTGGATGGATTGAAATTGGCAATTTATTCTATCCGATATAGCAATTAAAGTCGATATTTACTGTACACAGTGGTAATAACCAACCACAACCACAACCAAACAATCATGAAAAAATAATCTTTCCTGATAGTTTGCATTCTCTTGCAGATTTGGTACCCCCACTTAAACATATTTTAGTAGACGCCTTCTCACTAGCCAATAACTGGATAGAACGAAAAAGTTATCACTGAAACCTTGTCTGGTAATTGGTTCATTCAATATATAAAACTTTACAAAAGTTCATGTATTCAAAATACTAATTTTCAAATAACAGGATGATTGGCGAAACGTCAGCAATTTTGACTAAGAAAAAGCCGACGCAGGAGAAATCCAGAAGTTTTGTAAAAAGCATTACAGTAGCATGTGGAAGTCTCTTTGAAAAATTAAAATGGTAGTACAATGTAAATTTTTTGACATAATGACACAATAAAATGAAAGAATGTCCCAATATATATGTAAGCCCGTTTTATTGACAAGTAGAAACATGAAACATTAAAGAAGTGTGTTAGGGATCAATGTTCCAAAGCATATGAAAATTTGAACATTTACAAATATTATTTTTATCACCTACATATATGTAATATTGTAGAATTCGAGTTTTTCCTGACACATTTTACTAACTAAAGAATGTTAAAGGTACTTCTCCAAAAATACTATAAAAATTAAGGCTCATATAGTGTAGTTCCTTGAATTGAATACGTTTATCGTTGTACGACAAACAAAACAAAAACTTTCCATGCTATTTGTCAGCAAAGAGTAAAATCATTCTTTAATCGTTTCCAAGGAAATTAAAACCGTTGCGTCAAACGCATTTTTCTAGCCGTCAGTGGATTTCACGTCGTCAAAGAAAAGAAAAGGGGTGCAACCATTAAATTCGACGCTGTATGTACTTCAAATATGAAATTGAGGCGAGAAGAAAAAGTTAGACCCTTTCGAGTCGAGCTAAATGAAAAAGTGTTATTGCAAAAGGTCACGCAAAAAACGAAAACTTATAACTAGTTCGTTTTACGAAATACTAACCTTCCGCACACCAAAAAAGGGATAGTTTTTAGTAATAAGTATAATTTGTGAGAAAATACATAGTTATTTGAGATTCCGTGATATTCGCATAGGGTGATATTTTAAAAGATTGAACAGTTTTTGTTTGTTGTACCAGTTTTTTGTGTAATATTGAATAAACCGGCACAAAAATTTGCAATGAAAATCATTTTTTGTAGAAGTGAAATATTACTTAAGACCATAATGAGGTTTAATTGTAATATTCACTTCGCCCATAAGTTTTTTATTTTGTTTAAATGAGTTGAGATGGAAAGATCTAGCCGTCCGTATCATCCGGTTCATTATTCTGGATTCTTTTGTTATGAAGTGGAACCACTATTGGAACCCATGCTGTTAGCAATTTCGTCAACTGCAGCAGCAAAAAAATGCTTATACATTTTAAAATAATCTCGCCAAAAATAAATCCTGAGACCAAAACTAACTAAAACTCCAAGTTAAGTGAAGAATAAAAAAAATAACGCTCATCTGACAAATAAAAAGGAACCGTACTATTTACTCCACTTCTTTCCGGTTCGTTTCACGAAACTTTTCGTTTCACTTGAGAAGCTGCACTTAATTTTAAGAAATGACCACTGTCACTCCT